CTGGCGGGAGGTCAAGGGAGTGGCGCGTTCATCCCGTGAGCGCTGAGTTGCCTCCCACAATGACCACAGAACAATGGAAACGCTAACGGAAACGGTTTTGGAAAAAACGGGGGGGGGGGGGGGGGGTCCAAGCAGATACATGATTGCCGGGCCCATTGGAATCGTGCGAGTTCTCAAGTCAACTGCGTTGTTTGTTGAGGCCTGCGACCGTTTCTCCTGTTGTGCAACAGGGGCTGAGGAATCTTTGTAGGTGAAACGCGACCATTCACCGACCTCTTTTCGCTCTGTTCGATTCGTCTGCCATGCTCGGCTGAAGCACAACATGCCAGGTGCCGAACAGCACCGCGTCGGGCGGTGCCTACGTTTGGTGGACAACATTCCTCGAAACAAAGCCGCGCAATAGCTCGGTACCCCGGCGGGCAAAGGCAAAGGCATGGCTTACCAAGCGCTCCAACATGCGTAGGCAATGCAAAGCAGTGAGGCCAACCCAATTACTGCCAATGTGAGGCATCGCCCGGGGCTCCAAAGTCGACATTCCATCACCGAAACACCAACGTGCCAGGGTCCATCGCGACCGCCAAAACAACAACCCAGACCATAGAAGCCAGCATTTGCACGCCACCCAAGCGAAACCAAGCTCCACGACGTAAGGAGCATAGCCTGACTGCAAGCTCAGCCTGATGAATATCCAATCCGTACAGGCTGCACGTGACAACCTCTGCAAAGCATGATCGCCACCAAAGCCCGTGCACAACGGTAGTCAGACAGTCAGACCAACAGAAAAAGAAGAAGAAAAAAAAAAGCATGGCGCCTGTCCATCCTCACATCAAAAGGATCACCGCGGCAGTCACCATCCAGAAGTAGGCCATCAAAGATCAACAGCCACTGCTCTGACGCATAAGTTTGCAATGACATAAACCCTGAAAGGCAGAGCCGGCGCGTTTGAGCGTGCAGTGTTGAGCGGGTGCGCTTGAGCGGGTGTTCTTACCAGTTGGCCGGCAGGCATGCAGCGCTGAGCACGCGTGGCAGCATATGCAGTGCTGAGCGGGCGCTCGTGCGGACCTGCAGATCTCATACGCAGTAAGTTCCAGCAGCCTGGTCTAGACTGCAGGCCACTTGTGCGAAGTTGGCTGCGGTTACTGGCCCAGATGGGAGCATGGCTGACACTTCACACAAGCAATGCCCACTTCAGCATTGTTGCTGACACTCGACAAGTTCAGCTGGGATGGCTGGGCGTATGATGTCACCTTGCATCACAAAGCGCGAGGCTAAGCCATCCTCCAACCATGCGACATCATCCCCGAGCCATGCTCGAGCAGCGGATTCCTTAGCCGCAATGCCTACTACTAGATGCACCAAAATACCGGGCGGGACACGACCAAGGATGGTGTGCCCAAGGACCTCCGCCAAATTACCCTTTGCACACCTCCACCACCGTCAACGCGGACCTAGCGTGACCAAGGTCTTCCTAAGCCATGGGGCGACCGGACCCTCAGCTGTCGCAGCCACTCCTCCGGCAGGTTCGGACCAGTGGGTCCATCGCAACCCAAAGCTATACAAAAAACCAGGTGGTGGGTAAGGTCGCAAACCGCCAGTAGTTGAGGTTGGGTGGAGGGGGGAGGTCTGTTGATTCCTTCAATATTGCCAGACAACCAGTCGCAAACTATGGTAAAATACCGGGGGCTCTCTTGTTCCCTACATGCAAAGTCGAGGGAATCAGCCCGAATGCACCCCAACCCGGTCGGCCGCTTTTAAAACTTCGCACGGAGCGCCCGAAAACCCGGCCGCGTGGCGGGTTTTCGGGAGAAGTAACTCGAGGACTCACTCCCGCGGGCCGGCAACCTGGTGCCATGGAGCAAGCAATCGCCTCAACAAGCCCGTGCTGAAAGGGTACCTGGAAGATCCATTTCCTTCAGAGTAAACCGGAGATCAGAAACTGAATGGGTACCTGGAAGATCCATTTCCTTTAGGGTAAACCGGAGATCAGAAAAGCGAAAGCCCCTCCAAGATCTGGGGTCGTAGCACAAAGCCTACCAGACTCCTTTGTAAGTGGGGGGCTATCTGGCTTGCCGGCTGACATGCTCTCATGTGCGTATGAATGCTGCAAGACAATCCTTGAATCACGCTAGGGGTGCCTTCTTCTTTCTAGAAAACCTCCAGAAACCCAGGGAAAACGCCTGGTCTTGGAAAGGAGCGATGGTTGAAAAGAATGGAACCGGAATCAACCCCTAGAATCAAATGGTTTATCCACTGCCCCAAAGCACCGTGTTGTCCGCCGCCATCTGCTCCACGTGCTGAAGGAACTTCCCGTTCATCGTGATGACGACTCGCTTCTCGCCCTTCTTGCCCACCTGGAAGCAGCGAATTTCGCTCGATTTTTCCTCAAAATGCGTTGGGTTCCTCGAAGTAGTGTGACCCATAAGGAGCTTGTTTTCCGTGTTCTCTTGAAATCCCAAAAGGGAACACCCAGAGAACCTGTCCAATTGGGGGACTTTTTTACGAGCGGTTTCATGGTTGGAACCGCCTCAGAAAGTGGAACATGTGGACATGAATCGAAACCCACCGAATCTTATCATGTCCACCGTTTCCGGCGCGGGACTGAAATCCGCATTCGCATTGCAATCTGAGTCGCTGTGGTGCCGACATCCAGGTAGAAGTCAATGGCACTCATGATGCCATCACCACACTGTTCATTCACCAGAGCCTGGCACAAGGGTGAGTCACCCAGGCAGGTCCTTTTGCCACTCGCCTCAAAAGGAAAAACTGTCCCCACAATTTCCACTGGGCACTGAGATGGTTTCTAGGACGATCCAGGTTTCCCTTTTCAACATCTTTCAGTATGGGGGTCCAGGAACTTCAGGGCCACCTCGCGTAAAGACACTTCTGCTCGCATTTCAAGCCCAGCTTCCAGCTGGAATCGTTGTGCTCCCCTTTCTTTCCAAGGCTCCTCGAAACATTGAACCGCAAACTCAGGGATTTCGGCTTGCCAAAAGGACAATGGGTGAACAGAATCTGGGATCGGCTGGAACCATGGCGTCCGGCCGTCGCTCTCCAATGTTCATATGAGTGTCTTTTGGCTAGACGGACCCCAACAAAATTGGCGGTGAATTTTGCTTGAGGTGTCCCGTTAAAACCACATCAAGGGTGTCACAATGGGTATCCTCAAACCCGCCCATGCCTCACGGCGAAAGTGTTCGTTTCGCTGCTTCCCGGTAACACGCAGCCAATCCTCTAAGGGTTTTTGTGTTACACCCTGGGTATTTTGAACCATGGGTCATTTCGCAAGGGTGTAATCCCAGGGTGTACTACAAAAAAACCCTCGGAAAAACCTCCGGCGGAATCCGCCAGTCATCCGACACGCCGTGGCCCGCCTTGATGGCCTCGCCATAGTGCGTGACCCTGAAGTGGCCAAGGAGTGCGTGAAAAGGAAAGCCACCCATTTTGGGGGATCCTTGATGAGTGTTTTGGGGTCGTCCAGTTTTTCGGGATCCATGAAAAAAATGCCTCTTGCCCAAATGCTGCCAAGTTTGCTACTCAGCTTTGGTTGGTTTGTCGCTTTGATTGTCGGAGCCTGACTCCTTCACTGTCAGTGGAGCAGCGCCCAAAACCCATTAGCGGAGGCAACCTCACCTACAAAGCTCTTCAAAAGGCCTCTTGTCACAGGCGTCCTTTTTGGAAAATGGATGGCCCTGGCAAATGATTGCACCACCAGGTAAACCAGGGTCTTCAATTTTTCAAGCAAAACGACCAAAAAGGACACCTATGCCTCTTGTCCACTTCCATGACAGCTGGAAGAGGACCTTCGTGGAGTCATCCACACAAACCGGCCAATTGGGCCAGCTCCACTTCACCAGCGGAACCTTTTACTAGAGTTGTCTTAAATGGCGGACCCTCCGGAGGAAACCGAACAACCAACCATTTGAGGGAACCCGGTACCCCTCAAAACGCCTTTGCGCACACCCCTTAAAAAGTGTACCGAGAAGGAACACTATATATATATATATATGCACTGAAAAATGTCTCGCCAACCTGGAAGAAATCCCAAAGGAAGGAACCGCTAAGAAATCAACTGAGGTTTCAGGACTGACCGTTGAGGAACCCGTAAGAAACAACTCGGAATGGTTCACTTCGGAGTCATTGCCCCTTGTGGATGCTGCAAAGCGACGCCTCGTAGGTGCGGTACACGTTGGGCTCCTGGCGCGAGAGAACTTGCTTGGTGTCCGAAAGGAAGGGCGGAGGATATCGTCCAATGGAATTGTGTTTAGACATTCAAAGAAACAATCTCCAGGATATTCTCCAGGAAGTTTTAAGTTGGAAAGGCGTTGGGAATCAAATTTCCTGTAGAAGTTCCTGTAGGAATATTCTTTGAGACAACAAACGCTTGGTCGCGACCCCAAAAATCAAAATGAAGGATGAGCTCTCGCCGGTCCCGAAGCTGCGCTTCATCACTCCTCCCTCAACTTCTTTGTCCTTACTGAGAGATTTGTGGGAAGGTATCTTCCCACCATCTCCTCGTGGGAACTGAGCCATATAGGCTAAGGGTTGTGTTTTTCCCGGAGGGAAGTTGGGAGGTTGGGAGGGGATCCTGACGATAGCTGGCCACTTAAAGAAGGGATTGGTCTAGTACATGGGGCGCAAAACCCGAATCTAAACCCAGGAAGCCTGGAAAAAAAGGTTGCCCTAGTAAATGGGGCACAAAACCCATCTAGATCAAGGAAACCCGGTGGAACCCATCCATCTTTATCCAAACTCACCCAAAAAGGACACCTATGATGCTGACCCATGGACGATAAAACCTACCTAATGTTGACCCCCAACAAAAAACACCCCCGGTTTATTCATAGGGGGGAATGTTGACCCCGCCCCCCCCCCCCAAAAAAAAAAAAAGAAAGGCTTAAACAATTTATTCAGATTCATGGCGGGGGTTCTTGGGCCCTCCATCCCCCCCCCCAAACAAAAACCGATTCTTCCTAGGGTGGGCCCCCCAAACCCCGGAGCGC